TACATGATTTGGAAGCATTTTCACTGATTCTTGTTTCTAAAGTAATTCTTACTTTTTTTTGCTTTCATCTACCCTGTTAGGGTTAACATTTCTAGATATTTCTGTACAACTCTGTTCAATAATAAGAAACAGGATTTAAATACTGTGTTTGTTGCTATTGCCAAATCTTTTGGGTTTTGTTTTATTTTATTTTGTTTAGTAATGAAAGCTAGTGTTCCATAAAACTTAAATTACCACAATTAATAAATTAACAATGTAAGGTCTGGAGAATGAGGAAAAATTAAAACATCTCTTTTTAATTATCAGTGAGGAATTTTATAAGAATAAAATGGCAAAATGAGAGTCTTTATACACTTATTTTAGGTAATTTCCAGCTTCTAATAACATGAAAATTTCCAAGGGCATCTAAAGGATGTAGCATGTATGTTGACTGATGGGTATAAAGGGAAAAACTATATTCCTTTTATTTAATTTTATTTTATACTTCTGAAAATTCTATGAGAGAGAGGGAATATTTTTATTTTGGACTTTTTTTTCTGGCTTATGCGGCTACATAAGAAAATACAGAGTCAACTGACTGAAGTGCAGTCCATTCACAGAGATTCTGCCCTGCAGCACTTAAATTGTATTGGACAGTTAGGAACAGTTAGTGATTTTAAAAGAAGGTTTGCATAATTTTGTCATTTGGCTAATGTTTAAAAAAAACATTTATCTTGATGCTAAAATCATTTTGTAACACAGAGGGGAACATTCCAGACAGAACCAAATGGACACCCATTGCTAATATCTCTACTTGCTTGTCTTTTAGCAAGCATATCTTTGGATAATTTTAGATGTGCAAAGTAGTTTCAATTATTACCATTATTCCAAACCAGAAATAATTTAGGTAAAATAATGTTGTTGTTGTTATTATTATTATCATGCTTTATGTTTTCAAGAAAATTTCTTAGGTAGTGAGGCATAGCCCAAATAAATATCTCATTTGAGTGAAAGTTGATTGATTTCAGAGTGTTACCTAATTCCTGACATTCCACTGAAAAACACATACATACTGTGGCCAGGTACCTTAAGACTTCTTTTAAGTAAAATTCAACCCATCCAGTTCACCCATAAACTATGTTTTTCTGATTTCATTTTAGATGAAGATTACAGTCTCCGAGAACTAAATATTCATAGGCTACATTAGAGTAGTGAAGAGATCAAGTTAAATTTAAAACAAATTATTATAAGATTGATGGTTGATGGTACCATAAAGCAGATTATGAAAGGAAGATTTGATGCAGATGGTTCATGTTGGATGTTCTTCAGAAAAAAGAGGTGAAGGACTTTGGGCAGTCAGAAAAGAGAAAGAGTGTTTGGGGCTGTTTCCAATATGGACATTGGAAGCTCAGCCATGCAAAGACACCTCAGAAACATTTCACCAGAGGTGAGTGCTTTTTACCACTGTATTTCATATACTCTATTTGATTGCTTTCCCCAGGTGTCTTAACTGCCTTGAAATTCTTGATTATCTGTAACCACTCCATAGCTATGACTAAAGCGTTGGGTAAAGAGGCTGTCCCTTCACTTTTCGGGACTGTGAAGAACTGCAGTGTGTGTGGACCTGTCTACCATAGCTGTGATGAAATCACTGAATCATAATGCAGTGAGGAATAAGGCACCACGAGATGCTGCCACCACTGGTAATTACAGATTCTCAACGGCATAATAAATGTCACCTTTTACCACCATAGTGTCAGCAGAAAGGGCATTTTGAGAAAAAGGATGGGAAAGCCAAATAACTTTCATGTCAGAGGACATATAATTAAATTGGGAAGCTTAGTTATTTTAAGGTTACTGAGAATAAGTAAATGCTGTTTGAAATTGAGTAGTCCTAAGGCCTCTTGGTTTCTGTGGGGAAGCTGAACTATAGTTGGGATGTGTCATATGCAAAGTTTCATCTTCATTAAAACTTCTTTGAAAAATAAATCCATTAATTCTCATCCACTACCAAGGATTCTTGAAAGGTCCACTATTTCCCAGCTGCTGAGCAAATTGCTTCACTTGGCTAAACTTGCTGAGTAAAAATGTGTTTTCATCACTTTTTATTGTCATTTTCAGGAAGTCTAAAAAAAGGTCATTTGGGAAAATCTCATGAAGTTAATTATCTTAGAGAAATGAAAACTTATAGAAAACAAGCTGTGATGTGTTACAATATAAGAACAATATTTGTATGGTATTAGTGGTTGATAATCTTGAGGTATTTAAATGAATCTTTTCTTGCCCTTTGAAAATTATAATGCTTCAAGTACACACACACACATACACACTAAATCTCTGTGTTTGGTTTGAAAGAATGTGGTCATGTTAACAAAGCTGAGATTTACTTAAGCATGAAATTGATTTTATATGCCAAAATATGTTTATCTGTTTGCTAGTGGCATGGCCTAGGCTGTGGGAAAATTTGTTTCACCAGTTACAGCCACATTTCAGATTATTTGGAATTGAAAGAGTATCATAATTTTCTGTTTTACACACAAATATTTGAGTATACTTTGCTGTTGCTGAAAATTTGACAATTAAATAAATTTGAAGCAATCACTCCAAACGGTTTCCCAAATTTTAACTACTTGTTAATAACTGTGATTTTGCCTCATCTAATATTAACATTAAATGGACTCATTAATGTCAGTGTAATCATGGATAACATGACAAATTAGTCATTTTTAATTTTAATTAGTTATTACATTTCTTATTAAAATTAAAAAGTATCTATTTGCATATTACTTGTAATTATCTGAAAAAGCTCAATAGTACATATGAGATAAAAATGTATCAAAATAAAATGTTTGGAGCAAAAGGCATAGAATCAATCTATACCAAAATAGGATAAGTTCAAAAAAGAAAAAATGGAAAGGAAAAGAAAAAAAAGAGAAAAAAAAAAACCCAAAGGATCTAGATCTTTCAGTTTGATACTTTATTGCTCATACATACACATACAGAAACAGTTTTCACTATAGAAAGTACATATAATACTGCGCTTTCTTAAAGCAGACTCTTTTTCCACATGGACATAATGGTTAATTTCCAGTTGATAAGATGTCAGAATCTTTGTCCACATGGACATTATGGTTAATTTCCAGTTGATGAGATAAGTCAGCATGCAGTGCTCTACAACTGGTAAAGGAAACCAGAACATTTAGAGGCGTGTTATAAGAAACCAAAACATTCGACAGCATGATGTAAGCAACATGCAAATCAGCAGGTCCAGGGAGTTAGAAGCTATTCGCTGCTTTTCAGTTTCACATTTAATATGGATGCTTAGTTCATGAAGGGCTTATGAGCTAGTTTGATCCATGTTTAGCATAACTGGATAACTTCATGCCTATTGAGGGCCTCGGAATCATATATACATACATAAATATTTCTCTATATGATGACAATATAATATAGAAAAAATATTCACGTATACAATATAATTTTTACTTGGAAAATTATGACTTTAAGAATACTTTCAGAATTATAACACTTAGGAGACAAATAGTATACTATATTTTCTGTAGATAATAAATGAAATTGACAATGTTTAGAAAATATACAATAGCTTACTTATATACATATCTACCTCCTGTGTCGGAGAGAACATTTTCTCACTAAATATAAGCATGGGGAAGTACTTTAACTTTCCTTTCCTTTCCTTTCTACCAGCTGCTTGCCTTAACTAATCCCTGATGAATCATAATGCACTGGACACATAATCTTAACAGCTTGAGCTGTTTCTTTTTATCCCACACTTACTCACTGCTTCGCTTATATGGATTGTCTTTTCTTAACTATCTAAACAAAGTCTACTCTTAAAGAAAACCCAAGCTTCTCTACCAAGTTGTTCCAATGACTCTAGGAGTTCCAGATTCTTTTCCCATGGGGAATTCTAATGTTTGTAGTCCGAAATCATGTAAGTTGTCTTTCTACCACGCACTCTGCACACTTTCTTCACATTTCAGTGATAATATGTTGTCATTTTCTGAACATACATACAGTATAATAATCTTGATCATGATAAGTGATCATGATAGGTGAGAGATGTGAGTGCTGTTGAAGTTTGCACTCCTAATATATACACAAGGGACAGTTGTGAGAGTCATATGACACAAAATAGTATACCCTAATGAGCCAAGAGAATTGTTTAAGTCAATAAAAACAAACTACAAACAAGCTATGTAACTGTAAAGATAAATCTATGGGAAAATCAGGCATCATTTGAAGCATATATGTAGAAGCTCAGAATAAAGTGGTTTTCAGGGTGTGTTCAGAGAAATACAACAAATGACAATTTCTTAAGACAGAGACAAACAAAGCACATATTAGGATAAACTCTCCAGTAATTTTTATGTATATCAAAACAGGAGTGGTAGTACTCATGGCTAGGAATTAAGTGTTTGATTCCTTATTGTACCATTTCGGTATCAGGATGTTATTACTGACTTCTGAATGAAGACTTTTGGTCAGTTGGTACCATCTTATTCTGAGTTATACTGTATTCTTTTTTTTTTTTTCCTGGAAAGGTTTCACCTTTATTAAAGCCAGTCCAAGATGTTATTGAGGAAGTTCATATGTGCTCCTGTTTGTTATGACCATACATGCACAAGAACTGGGTCTATTCTTCTGTAAGGAAGGAAAGAGTCACTTATAGGCTTTCAGGAATGCTTGCTAATACTACTGGTTATCCCATTAGCATAACTTAGCATCAATGTCATTATCCTTCACATTTCCATCATTCCATCTCAGAGCCTATGGCTTGCAGTCATGATGTGACTAATATATTTTATTGGCCACTAAATTCTTTTCTAGTCCACATCCAGATTTGATAGTTTTGGACAATGTACTGTCTTAACTGGTATTACCTATTCCAGCCTTTTCCACTTTTCTAGATATAATTCTTAAAATATCACTTAATCACATTCTACCTGGTTAGCATGAATTTGCTTGGTATAAAAGAACGCTATTTACATCTTGTTTGATCTGACAGCATTGAATACATCCATGATTACTCTTGTCAAAGAGGATTATTTGGGTGTTGAATTAAGAATGATATAGATTAAACTTGTCAGTCGTGTCGTGTAGTCCATTTGTTGCTGAAAATCTTAATAGTGAACTGTTTCCCAGTGTGCAACTTTCTTGGGTGACATCAGCTGCTGAAAGACTTGAGATCATGTTTATGTAATAAACATACAAGGAAAGCATTACAGGGTCCGATGGCCTTCGTTATTTCTGTGGTAAGTAAAAACAAGAGTTAAATTAGTTATTTTTAATCATAGTTCATTAAAATAAACTATATAAATAATCCTTATTTATATAGTCATCTTAGGCATTTTCAGGTTGACTATTAAAAACTTCTTTATACTGTATTTTTTATGACTCTAATTTGTATTCTCAACATTGCCTAAGAATTGCAACTTGAGGTTATATTACGTAGGTCTGCTTTTTTTTTTTTTTTAATTTGGTTGTAAGTTTTGTAAAAATAGAAAGACTCTTATTTCTCTCACAAAATGTTGGCAATGATTTTACATATATTTAATGTTCTGTTTCTGGTTTCTCACTGAAGCTTATGAAATGTCAAGCCTCTACTTTATTGTCTGAGAAAAAAGCTATATTAAACAAATCGAATCTATACCATTCCTACTTTATATATCACGACAAAGCTAAATAGAAATTTAAGATGCAACAGATCAGTTTTCTATTATTTAATAAAGATTTTTATAAAAATTAAAATTTGTGTAATATTTTTCCATACATAATACATTCAAGAGAACATTTGTACTTTCTCTTAAGATACTCGAGGTCCACGTTTACTCTTTGGGGAAGTTAGTGGAGTTCTGCAACTCTAAGCAAAGCGATGCTTGCGCACAGATGAGCATTTGAGAGGAGGGAAAGAGAGAGAACATCATTAATAGAAGTTTCTCAAGGCTTCATGGTGTGTGCTAGGAGAACACGCAATGATCGCTCTGTCCAGTGTTGGCGTGGGTGGATACTTGTTCTTTACCAGCTGAGGAATTCCAAAATGCATTGCCGCAGTCTCACGCTTGCACCCTGCTGGCCAAACGTCGATCAAACATTTGGAATGTGTCTCTTCAACTTGGGGCAGACCTGAGTGTTTTCTCACTCACATACGTTTTTTTTGTTTTTTTGTTTTGTTTTGTTTGTTTTTTACTTTGAATACAACATTACAGCATTTCTAAGATTTGAATGAAATTAAAACAATATTAACAATATTGAATATGTTACTTGTAAAATGTATAGAATTAATGGTTAATAATTAAAATTATTTTCCACTTAAAAGTTAATTTTTTCGTCTTATAATTTTTACCGATTTAAAGTACTTTGGAATGGCAGCACTTGGGGTTTACTTTTTCAAAGGAGTGAGCAGAACAGTGTAGCCCTTGCTTTCCTAAGACATGTACTCTGCATAAACTCCACTCTCCACTTAAAACCTAGTTTGATTTTGCTACAGCATCTTTTACATGAATTTACTAACCACTTAGCATAAACTAACAATCACTTTTTGTAGATTTTCAAGGTGTGGGCATAGTTCCGCGCATTTCATCTACTTCACAATGCTTATAGAATTTGACTTTTTCTATTTATCTTCAGGATGTAGAATAGTTGTGATCTGTGTCAAACTTTAAAAGTGTAATAATCCTGTCAAGGAAGAAACCCGAAGAGGAATCTATGTTGGCTTGTGTTATTCATTCACCTTTGCCCACTTTCCTCAGGTGTGTAGCCTCACTCAAAGTCCCTTAGCAATTAATAGAATTGGAAGTGATATAACAGCTCTAGGAGGCTTATTAAGGGAGTCTCTTAATAAGATTGCTTCACTACACCAGCAGATTTTAATTTAGTCTTTTATTTTCCATTTGATGATATATGGTTTTGATTATCAATGGAGATATTTATGAGTTAATGTAGCAGGATACTGAATACTTTAGAAATTTATATATCCTTTGTGTAAATCCAGCTATCTGTTTGACTTTGCACAGGAACATTTGATTTTATAATGTCATTTCCTTTTGAAACAATATGAATTGTATTCTTCTCAATTTTTCATGTGGTCAAAAAGCAAGACTAACAAATAACTTTTCAAAAATTAAAAGGGGAAAACTGAGCCTATACATGAAACTTACAAAGATCAAGAAAGTGCATTTTGTCTTGTATATTATGTAAAGCATGCTGTGTTCAATATCTGACACTGTCATTCGTGTGTGCATGCATGTGTGCATGTGTGTGCTCCTATGACTACCGGATACCAAGAATTTAACTGTCAACTGTACAAAAGAAACTTGTTTTCTCTCTTTAGTGGTCACACTGTTTAGGAAAGTACCATGATACTTGTCAAGACATGGTAATGGAGATAATGGTGCTTAAGTATCCATCAGTATGTCCAGGACACAGCTGATGTTCAATGATATTATTCCCTTTTCTTAATGTAGGAGGTCTAATATATGCTAATTGTCTTTGTACATATATTTATGCACCTATGGGTATGTGTTCGTTTGTACCTAAACACCTACTTAATGTGATTTGAGGTTGGATCATACTAGTGCCCTATCTATATTACTCCAATAATAATAATTAATGCAGAACGAGAAATTAAATTAAAATAGATTGTTTAGTGTAATGGAGAAAGACTTCTGGTACTTTCTGTAAATAATTTGTTACATTGTTTTGCTGATATGGTAGCAGGAATAAGAAATGTCTTCCTGGAGTAAATGAAGAAAAATTCCATACAAGCATACCTAGAATGAGTCCAGTTTGACTGGAAATCCATGAAGTCAATATATTCTTTATTAAAAGGATATGAAGGGTTAATTATCATTATCAATTAAGTTTCAAAGAAAATCCATGAACTAAAGATAGAGGTTAGAGTGTGTCAGTTTTACAGGGCATTTAAAATATGGCTTTTGACCAACTATTAAAATTTAATGAACATGAAGCTATCACCAAGGCCAATTTATATTCCTTAATATCTGATTGCCTATATCCCAGTAGGTGAGTTATTTGAAGAGGATTAAAGTAAGACCTGTAAGTCTCCTGGGTAGATGCATATTCATACCTGTCTAATAATAACTGGAACACTAGGTCAAAGTTCAAACTGTAAAGATGAGATAGCGATAATAGGATGAAATCAGTTTCAAACTAGTCAGCAGACTTGTGGTGCTTTGATTTAGAATCTGTAAGCAAAATATCATGAGTACTTGAAGTAAAACAAATTTGGAAAATGACAAGAGGGAGCAATGAAAGACAATTGCAGGCAAGTTAAGGTCCAGTATGGACTGGAGCACCTTTACCTTGAGTCAAAATAGCCAGAATTTGGCTGATTTCAAAAAATAACTAAATCCCACAAACCATTTCAGACTTGTTTGGTTTAGTTGGAAGATTTACTTGATTTGGCTCAGTAGTTTATGCACAAGGATGTTCAAAGGGAATTTCAACCTTAAAGGTTTTGAGGAAAAGGTGAAACTATGTTTTAAATACTCAGCCTGGTACTTGCTATACATTTGAATATTCATTATATATTAACTGGTATCTTCACAGCTATTTAAAATGGATACATCTTTACACCAACCACTATTTAGGAAGCCTGAAGAGCTGATACAATTTAGCTTTGCTTCAAAATCAAATCCACATGTCTCTATAATCTGGGGGCATTTTGAGTTTCTAATTTGTGTTGTTTTTTTATGTAGTACAGGTATTCATGAAATAGCACTGTATTTTGTTAAATGAAATATTAAATCATTTAAAAATTGCATGTTGTCAAGTTACCAAATGTATAGATATTTGGAGTGTGTGTGTGTGAAGTCACATTTAATAAGGTTGTGGTGAGGAATTTAAACTGATATCTAGATTTTATGGAAACATCCTTACTCCAGTAAAGAGAGTGATTTCCCACATTAAATGAAAGCAAACAGCCTTTTAGTTTCCAACATTTATCCCCTTCAGAGTTAGATCCTATTTTTTTGATTCTAGTTTCAATAGAAGGAAAGTGAAAGAAACACTGTCATGGGTTAAAGTATGCAGGGCCAAGATTCCTAAGAGCAAAGCCAGGCCTGCCTGCTATGTCTCCAGTGTAAATATTGGCTGTTTTCTCTCTCATGGATAATAGCACAGACGAAACATAGACTGTGATTCATTTTCTTTTCATTCATGAATCATCTCTAGCTAAAGGTTACCTCAGAAGCCAAGCAGGTGTCATCAAATGACACTTTTGTGGTTGACACATAAGTGTCTGTGACAGTGATGTCATCCAGCTCTGTGCTGAACCGATCTGACTCCTTGATGACGCTGTAATTTAGGGCCACACTGTAGTTAGCAGGTTTCTCTGTGGGCTTTTGCTTGCAATTGCAGAGCTTTCGGAAGGCTGCACGGAATTTCTGAGACATGAGGTTGTAAATCACTGGGTTGATGGCACTGTTGAGATAAATGCAAATTCTGCAAAAGAGCAAGAACCAATTTTCCTGGAAAGGGCTGGAGAGAAATGAGTTGACAACCACAAGAGTCCTGTAGGGCATCCATAAAAGAGCAAACAGAATTACAACCACTGCCAGCATCTTGGTGACCTATGGAGAAACAGAGAGAAATGCAGTCCAAACACCAATAGAAACAAGCAAGATAACCCAACTGCCCCCTTTCCCACCCCGAGTCTCTCTTTCCCAGATGTAGTCTAAGACTGACTTTCAGTCATGCTGTTTATTTAGAAGTTGAACCCAGAAAGCAGGATTGGGGGAGTAGAGGAGAATATGACACACAAAGAAGGAACAAAATCAGACTTTGATTGAGATGGCTTTTGCTTGGGCAACTGGACTTAAATTCTGTATTTCAGAATTATCTGTCCCAAAGGACATCTGCCTGCCGCTATTTTTTGAAGGACACATTTAAAGATTCAAAAACCTATGTATTTCCAGGACTTCCTATGGTAGGAACTACTGGGACCTTTACCAGAACTTCACTGATGAAAGCATACTGACAAAGAGTACCTGGAGTGAGAAGCAGGCAAGAGCCACCCACTTCAGTAGTGGCTGGAGTCAGTCCAGCTAAAGCACTTATCTCAGGCCCCCAAGGGTGTCTGTGAAAAGCGTTAGGAGACATCGTTCAAATTTCATCTTAGTTGTAGGATATTATTCTAGCCTTTTGCACAGACCATCTGTAAAATGGGACAATAGTACCTTCCAGCGTCAAATACGGTAACATAATTGTGTGAAAAAGATACAGCAAAACTGCAGATGCTGTGCAGTCTATTCTACACGAGAGACCATACTAATGTTGCACTTTGTTTTTTATCACAGCTGCAACAGTTAAAACCCTACAGAGTGAGTGCTGAATCTGCCACTGCTCAGATTAGAGAACTGAGGCACTCAGAGTGTTGGTGGAAGCTGCCAAACCTTAGCTTAGGACTGGAACTCCCGTCAGCCTGAAGGTAAACATTTTACTCTTGCCACAGCTTGGCTTTCTTTTACTTTAAAAGAAGGGAGGTACAGAGAAAAAAAAGCTATTCAGAGCTGAACAATTCTGAAGTACAAAAAAGGCACCAGAGGTAGGAAAATGGTTAACAAGTGGTCAATATCTAAGATCATCCAGGAGGAAGGATAGCAAAGGCATCATTTAGCACACTCTTCTTACCTTGGTGCTCAGTGAGATATGGCATCGCTATCTTTGGACTTACAGTAAGGTCATCTGGCTTTCATTCTATAAGTGGTTTTAAGACCTTAATCAATTTATTATTCCATTTGGACATCTGCAGAACTGCCTGGTTGTGTTTTCTTTACTTCACAGAATTATTAAGGAATTAAAATCATAAGTGGAATGGGATTTAGAAATGCTAAACCACTGTGAAATTTTAACATCTCATTAAGGGGGTTATAAAGAGATCATTGTAGCTGTGCTATCGTGGTGCATGCCTTTAATCCTAGAACTCTGGAAGCAGAGGCAGGCAGATTTCTGTGAGTTCCAAGCCAGCCTTCTCTTCAGAGTGAGTTTCAGAACAGCCAAAGCTATTACCAGAGAAACTCTGTGTCTGAAAACCAAGAGAGAGAGATTATAGCATTTCAACAACATGATGAATGTGTATAATTTAGCAGAGATTATCTTTTATACAGAGATAATAATTAATTAATTTTCTTTAAATTTAAAATTTAAAGTTAACAAGTTTTGGCCTCACATTGTATTTGAGAGAATTCGTCTTCCTCGGCCCACACTTTGTAGATGTCCTGAAAGTGAACGGTACCCCTCTTTCAATATTAAGGTGAAGTGAGTTGGAAAGAGTGGTCCTGTTGAGATTTGGTGTTTGACAACGTGGATGAAGTGAGCAGACTATAGTGCACAAGTTCCAGCTGTTTAACAGAAGTAGAAATAGCTTGTCCCTAGCAAGTGATGGGAAGCGTTTCAAAAGCCCATTGTTTGAGGACAAAGACATGTCACACTCCATGCGCTCTGTTTTTAGGACAGAAAGAGAGACACACTGCCAAAGGAGTTACAGCTGCAGGTAGAGTCAAGCTCTGAAAATGCCAACTCTGTGGAGGCATTTTAGTCAACATGGAAACAGGCAGATTCTGAGTATATTAATGATGAGCAAAGGAAATTATAAAAACCAGGATTAGAGCACAGCATTTAAAGAGAGACAATGCTAGCAGAGACAATGGAAATGAGCAGGTAGGCCCTAGATTTGACAGGTCTCTGTCATCCATCAGGGGTCCTCTCCTTTGTGTTGCGTAGGTCAGAGACCCATGATAGTGCTTTAATCTCTTTCCACCTTATTTCTTTGGAACAACATGTTACAATGAACCTGGACCTCATTGATTGGCTAGATTGACTGGCCAATGAAAGCCAGAAATCCTCCTGCCTCTGTTTCCATAGCACTGGAAGCAGACCGAAGCATCTGGCTTTTTTGAAAAGCTGGGAATGTGAATCTATGCCTGTAGGCTCGTACAGAAAATACTTTAGTAACTGAGCCATTTCTTTAGTCCTTTCACTCTTTACTGTATTTAAATACATGAAAGAAGAATTAAATAGTCCGCATGAGAAATTTCGAATTCATGTTTTAAAACACATTCTTAAAGCGCTTGGGTAAAAATTTTATCCAGAAATTTTCTGTCATGTGAATTTAATATGTTCTATCTGACCATTAACATTAGAGCTACAATTATAGTTTCTGGAGGAAATAATCCCATAGCATGTGTTTCCTTTGAAAAATAAGGCTAATTGAGGTAGTCTATCCTTTAGAAATTTCTGTTATTATAGTACATCAAGCAATTAGCTAACATTTGCATGTCACTTTCTTTTTGTTTTTGTAATGCTGATTATTTAAAATTGCAAAGACAATGCAAAGAGTTGCTACATACTCCACACAAATGTGTCTCTATTGCTGACCCTTTACCTTTGTGTGCTCACTCATCATGGATAATAAATCAATGTTGACTTATTGAACTTTTATTAATTGCCTCCCCATGTGTTTTCTTTCTTGTTCTAATATTCTATCTAGCGTATCATATTATGTTTAATTAATTGTATTTACTTAAGTGCCTCTGGCTGTGAGGTTTTCTTGCCTTTCCTTTTACATGCAGCCATGAGAGTTTTGAGGAGTATATAACATATTTTCTTTAAAAAAAAAAAAAAAGCCCTAACTTGAATTTGACTGATGATTTTCTTTTCTTTTTCCTTTTTCCAATTTTTTTAAATATTAGTTACAGTTTGTTCACTTTGTATCCCTGCTGTATCCTGTTCCCTCTTTCCCTCCCAATCCCACCCTCCCTCCCTCATCTCCTCCCTGCCCCGGAGGATGACCTCCTCCCCTTACATCTGATACTGGTTTATCAGGTATCTTCAGGACTGGCTGCAAAGTCCTCCTCTGTGGACTGCTCCTCCTGGGGGCAGGGGAGGAGGTCAAAGAGCCCACCATTGAGTTCATGTCAGAAACAGTCCCTGTTCCCCTTATTAGGGTACCCACTTGGATACTGAGCTACCATGGGCTACATCCATGCAGAGGTTCTAGGTTGTATCCATACATGGTCCTTGGTGGAGTGTCAGTCTTAAAAAAGACCCCTGTGCCCAGATATATTTGGTCCTTGTGGCGCTCCTATCCTTTCCACGTCATACAAACTCCCCCTTCTTTCCTATGATTCCTTGCACTCTGCCAAAGGTTTGATTATGAGTCTTAGTATCTGCTTTGATACACTGCTAGGTAGAGTCTTTCAGAGGCCCTCTGTGGTAGGCTTCTGTCCTGTTACTTGTTTTCTCCTATATCCAATGCCCATCCCATTTGTCTTTCTAAGTGAGGATTGATCATCTTACCCTGGGCCCTCTTTCTTGTTTATCTTCTTTAGGTGTACAGATTTCAGTATGTTTATCCTATCTTACAGGACTATATGAGTGAATATATATCATGTGTGTCTTTCTGCTCCTGGGATACCTCACTGACAATGATCTTTTCTAGATCCCACCATTTGCCTGAAAATTTCATGATTTCCTCGTTTTTAATTGCTGAGTAGTATTCCATTGTGTAAAAGTACCACAGTTTCTGTATCCACTCCTCTGTTAATGGACATCTGGGTTGTTTCCAGGTTTGGATTTTAACCACATTTAAGAGGTCAACAGAAAGCATGCGTGTGCACGCGTGCGCACACACACACCCACACACACCCAATTTAAACAAAAAAAAATTTAAATTAAACTTCAGAATCTAAGAGTATTCTAGGAGTCCTTAATTACTGAGGGCTTTGGAGTTAACAAAATTCTTTCATGTGCCTAGAGCATCTGCCCTAGTACCCACTGCGATCTGTGGAAGAAGTGTTAGTGTTTCCATTTTGTTGATCAGGAAATGGGAATCAATCTCATAGAAGCTGAGAAAAGGAGCATGCTACATGTAGACTACAAAGTGGCCATTGAACCAACACTCTTGATTCTAGTTCTTATTTTCTTTCCAGGCAATGATGAATTTAATGTATTTATTGAGCTAAGGCATGTTCTTGCTATTGCTATTGATACTGTTTGTGAATTATCTGGAGAGGATGATACTGTTATCAGACATCACTAGTAACCTTGGAATCTACCCCTCCCTACCGTGTCTTTTGGCCTCACATTAGAATCTTGCATTTAGAGTCCTGATTAAGGAAAATAAAGTTGTCACAAAGCAGACAGGAGTCCTTCACATCAATCTACTTCCTAGGGAAATAAGCAAACAAGAGAATTGAATTGCAAAAATAATCACGTAAAGTAATGGAAACTCACATTTCTTAGGATACAACCCAATTAATTTCAAATCATTTATTAGGTTCTGATTTCATGGGACCTGAAGACATTTTAATTAATTGTCAGAAATCAGCTTGTTAGTCTGCCTAGGAAGTCATAAGAGTTTGATTCATACCTCTGTTCCCTAGGATATTTAGTTGGAATTCTTGTACTGATTCAGAAAAATATCTGAACTTTGGTCCTGCAAATGATTCACCAAAACAAAACAAAACAAAACAAAACAAAACAAAACAAAAATATTTTTGTGTAGTGCACCTGCAATTCTAGAACTCAGGGAGGCACAGGCAGGCATATCACTGTGAGTTCGAGGCCACCA